GAGAATATATTTCCGATGGAACCTAAATCGTCGGAAATATCCGACGGAACTTGGTGGTCGGAAATTTCTGACGGAACATAAGCCGTCGGAAATTTCCAACGAACGTAAGCCGTGGGAAAAGTCCGACGGCTAAGAATCGTCGGAAAACGTCTGACCACAAGGTTTCGTCGGAAATTTCCGACGACTTATGTTCAGTCGGAAATATTTTTTTTAATTATTTATAAATATTTTATTATATATATTTATTTTGTAAGAAATTTTTATTTTATAAATTATTTTTTATAAATTCATAAAAAATGAAATTAAAACACACATATTATAAATAAATTTTTACATAACTAAAAACAACATTTTAAAGTTTTTAAACAAAAAAAAACTAAAATTCATCCGGGAAAAGGCGCTTCATCTTGTCCATTATAACTTCATTCTGCTTCTTTTGTGCCTCCAATGCAGCGAGTATTGTAGAGTTCTGCTCCTCCAACGCTACAATGAACTCACCTTTGTTGTGCAGCTCCTCCATAATTTCCGGGTCAACACTCGGAGCTTGTGAAGATGAAGCAGCAGGACACGAAGCGGCACGGCGAGCCAAACCGACCAGACGTCCTTTCTTCTTTGGGACCGCCTATTAAAAAGAAAAAAAATTAGTTAAATATTATTAACTAAATTATAATAATAATGAAATTATAAAGTTTTAAAAATACATGTTCCACCATTTCTTTAATTCGACATCGAGAAAAGTTGGTGGAAAAAGCTGCATCGGAATCGTCATCAGAGATAGGCTAAGAAGCTAGAAATGCTTCTTTTTGTGTTTCTCCCAATGCACCTGCAAGTCTTGCCAAACGGTATCGTTGATGAACTTTGGTTTCTTTCCCTTGCGCCAGAGCACCTTCCATTCATAGACCGTATTTGTGTAAGACTCCATGACCTTTTCTTTGAAGGTTTGTCGGACCATTTCGGTATGTCCCGACTCCCAACTGAATTGTTGTTGAAAAAAATAGAAATTAGTAAATATATAATAAAAATAAATAAAACAAAATTAACAATATTTTTAAAATTACCGCAAAATTACGGAACCATATCTCTTGTTCCTCTCTCGGCATCACACTGTAGGTCTCGTATCCTCTACGAAGCATAGAATACATCATTTGATTAATGCATCTGCTAATGCCGTTGTTGGACTTGTTGAACCTTAAAAAAACAAATATTAAGTTAAAATTGAAATTAAAAAAAAAATTAAATATTACAAATAGAGAAAGTATGTACCACGTAGTGTATCCTTCTGGTTGGGGCTTGAGAACCCGAAGGTTCTCTTGGCCTGGTTGTTGAACCAAAAGCTCAACCGGCATTGTGCCCGGCTCATAGTGAGCGTTTGGATCAAACGCCGCTGCTTGAGGTGCTGGAGGAGGAATAGAATTTTGCTCCTACTGCGAAGATTCCGATAGACAAGAAGTACTCCTGGAACGTACTGGATGAGGTACGCCGCGGCGAAGTGATGCTGGTCTAGGATCGGACCTGCGAAAAAAATAAAAATTTAAACATTACTTGATATATATAAATATAAACAAATTATAATTAAATTAAAAAAAATAGTACAATTGAATACATTTTTTAGTTAACAAAAAAATAAGATTATATTAAAATCAATATATATTTTATTATAGCAGATATACTTTTATTTAGCTTTTTAAAAAGTTTTACAATTCTTAAAAAAAATTACAATTCTTAAAAACGTTTTTATATATTAGAAATTGAATAAAATGTTTGTAAATATATTTTAAAACCTATCTAAAACGTTTTATAAAATATTTTTAACATATAAAATTCAGAAAAAAATAAACATCTAAAACCTAAATTATCCATCAATTTACAACCTAAAACCAAAATTCAACAAATTCAATCCTAAAACTATGAGTTCAATCCGAAAATCTATTCAATTACCTCCTAAAACTACCAAATTACCATGCACAAATCTATTCAATCATAATATCAAGAGAGAGGGTTTCAGATTTGTTACATGATTTCAAGAGAGAGAGGAGGCGAAATGCCGGATTCGTCGGTGGGAGAGGAGATCGCCGGGAGAGGAGGCACGGAGAGGAGGCGCGGAGAGGAGCTCGCCGGGAGAGGAGATTGCGGGAGAGGAGATCGCCGGGAGAGAGGAGAGCGCCGGGAGAGGAGGCGCAGAGAGTTGTCGACGCTGTTACGCAAATTGGAAGAATAACCATCTGGAAAGATCACTTCATCAGTGATCCAATTAAAGAACACCTCTTTCGCAGCTGCATCAAGTCGATATATGGGAAAAGGAGCCACACCGTTCTCATCAACGTGAAGTTCAGAACGATCACAAATGTCGACTAAATCTAATCTTGACTTCAAATTATCCTTCGTTTTACCTTGGACGTTAAGGATTGTGTTCATCAGATTATCGAAAAAGTTCTTCTCAATATGCATGACATCTAAATTATGCCGCAACATATGATCTTTCCAGTATGGCAGATCCCAGAAGATACTCTTTTTGTGCCAGTTGTGTAGTTGTCCAACAGCATCGGGTCGAATATTTTCATGACCACCAACATCTGGCGTCCTTTCTGCACCAAAATCCCTTAGCTGTGTCAACAAACCTCCCCCACTAATTTCTTCTGGTGGACTGTCAAACTCCTGTTTGTTTTTCGTAAACAAAGTTCTGCTCCTACCGTACGGATGAGCGGGTGGTAGAAATCTTCTGTGACAGTCAAACCAACACGTTTTTTTCGTGTTTTAGTTGGAAAGCATCTGTGTCATCTTGACAATGTGGACATGATAGTCTCCCATGTGTTGTCCATCCAGATAACATCACATATGCTGGAAAATCACTAATCTTCCACATAAGTACTGCCCGCATCTGAAAGTTTTCTCTGCACGAAACATCTTATGTCTCAGCACCATGAGCCCATAGATGTTGCAACTCATATATCAGTGGCTGAAGAAACACATCAAGTGATCTCTTAGGATGGGCTGGCCCGGGAACGAGAATGGAGAGAAACAAAAACTCTCTTCGCATGCACAAATTGGGCGGCAAGTTGTACGGAGTCAGAATTACTGGCCATACTGAATATTGTCTTCCATGCTTTCCAAATGGGCTGAAACCATCATTACATAATCCAAGATAGACATTTCTTCTCTCATGGGCGAATTCTAGATATTTTGTTTGGAAATGTTTCCATGCTTTTGCATCTGTGGAGTGCTCTGCATGCCATCTCATTGGTTGGGTTGTGCACTCAGTCTGATATAACCTCTTCAGTCTTTCCGTCAAAGGCAAATACCACATTCTTTTGAATGGCACTGGTACTCTTCCCCTTGTTTCTTGATAACGAGGTTTCCCACTAAATTTGCATCTATCCCGGTTCTCATCTGCTCTCCAATAGATCATGCAGTTGTCAATGCATACATATATCACCTCATACGGTAAACCAAGACCCGCTACCAGTTTCTGAACCTCGTAGTATGAACTCGGTGCAAGATTATCCTCTGGTTAAACATATTTAACAAAATCAGCAATCGCATCAACACATTCTTCTGCCAAATTATAATATGTCTTCATACCCATCAATCTAGTTGCAGATGATAAGGGAGAATGACCATCTCTACATGTACAAAGGTTGTTTTCCTGCATCTAACATGTCAAAAAAAACTCCTAGATTCCGCATTCGGCTCCTCCCCTCTATAATGATCATTTACCATCTGCTCAATACCTACACCATAATCTATATCCGTTGTAGGTTCTTCTACCCTAACTACCCTGTCCACATGCTGAGGTTCGCTAGTACTACCAATTTCATAACCATTTTCCCCATGAAGATACCAAACTTTATAACTCTGTGTAAACCCACTTATATATAAATGAGTCCAAACATCACATTCCTTAATAACCTTACTATTATTGCATGAAGATCAGGGACATCTTAATATACCGGTTTTTGCTTCCCGTGATTGTTGTACAAGCGTCATGAATTCACCAATACCTTTCATGTATTCATCCGTAAGCAAATTGGTTTCTGGATCCAAATGAGGTTTATCCATCCACGATCGATAATGATTTCTATAAGACATGATTGATATTTTCGGATTTGTAGAGTGTGAAGAGAGAATGAAGAGTGTATGAGGAAAAAGTAGTGAGGAGAGCTCGTATTTATAAACATGAGAGTTGCTCGGGAAACCGACGGATTTCGTCGGAAATCCATCGGAATATTGAACGGTCAAAAATTCCGTCGGAATATTGAACGGTCAAAAGGGGTCGTTGGAAAGTGGTCGGAAAAACTCGCCGGTATTTCGTCGGAATTCAGAACGGTCAAAACTTCTGTTGGAAAAACGCCGGAAAATAGAACACACAATCTGTCGTCGAAAATATTCCGTCGGAATCTCGTCGAAAATTGTAACATTCAAAATTTCCTTCGGAAATTTCCGACGGAAAGCAGTTGATCGGAATGCCGTCGGAAATTTCCGACGGAATTCTGACGAATTCGAAATTTTATATTTTCTTGGTTTTTCATCGGAAATCCATCGGAAATTTCTGACGACTAATCTATCCGTCGGAACGTTCGTCGGAATGTTCCGTGTTTTCTTGTAGTGTATGGAGATGGAAACGTAAAAGCATTACACCCTCCAAAGATATCATATATTATGTATTTGTTAGATTTAATGGTATTATCTTCGTAGTGGTATATGCGGATGAAGACGATATCGCAAAATACACCACAAAAACGCTAAACGATCCACGAACAGTGAACAAAATCGTGTATATCAGACCTCGGGATAATGTTCTCACGCAAAATGAATTGGCTCAGATTTGGGAAAAGCTAACCGGAATTGAATAGGAGAAAACCAATATTGCGGCAAAAGATTTTCTTGCCGACATTGAATGTAAGTCCAATAATGATGTAAAAGTATAGATCATTTTCAGCTAGACGTATTTAATACATAAGAGCCCATTAATGTTCTTTGATTATTTTAATAAAAACGTAGACATGGAGATTCCACATCAAGTAGGGTTAGGACATTTTTATCATATCTTCTATGAAGGATGTCTCACTGATCACGAAGTCGGAGAAGATGAAGAAGCATCAAGTCTCTATCCAGAAGTCAAGTACAAGCGCATGGATGATTATTTACGAATGTTCCTATGATTACAATTTCGTGAAATCATATCTATGATTAATACCATATCATAAGTTTGTAGTTTCAATATTCATGTATTTTCGTGTTATGCAAAGTTTAATGTACTCATTATGCAACAAATAAAATATGATATCTTCTTTTCTTAATAACCATACCAGAACAACGTCATAAATTAATGACGTTCAAACGACAAAAATATGAAAAATAAATACAAACAAATGAGACGCATATATTTCTCCAAAAAAATGAGAAACATTAGAAAAGGGAAAAATACAGATTTCAAACCCCTGAAAGCCAAAAGGCCACCAATCAATAAATCCGTATGTAAAGTCGACTAATGACCTTAATTGTCAGTGTTTAATTCTGTAACTGCAGAGAGTTTGTTGATCATAAAACTCACATTAAGCATTTGATAGTGTTTGTACAAGATTAGAAAAATATGAACTTTGGGAGAAACAATATACTCAAAACATAATGATGAGGCTCAATTTGACGAAAATTAATTTGTATATATTTATGTTTAATGGTTTTACAAAGTATGTGGATTAAAATGGGACGGTACTACCATTCTCTACACTTGCAAGATATCGTATATAGATGCGTACACCGATGCTATATTAGGGACTACATTAAAAGTACCGACAGTTAATGGGACGGTGGATTTAAAAGTACCGACAGGGAAATAACCGGAGATGACGATGGCGAAAAAAAAGAGTTCTGGTGTTGAACAAGAGTAATATGAGAGGGTTTCAGTTGGTGAAAGTGCAAGCAGAGCCAGTCCTTACCACAAGCTGACCAACCATATGTTTGGCCGTGATGTTTATAACTATTTTAGGGGTTAATTATTGGGTAAACAACCTATATCCACACCATATGTATCATATAGTAACAGTTCCACACAATCTTTCATGTTCATCCTAATCACAAACATTTTAAGTATATGAATCTAATTGTACACATTTTAAATATATGAATATATTTTTACCTCCATTTTTGAAGATCGAATCAGGAAACTACACAGACAAAAATTTAGCTTGGTTTTACTGGTTTAGAATCTAAATTGATATCAAATCAATTGGTATCGAATTGAATTTAAAATTCGATCTGGCCTGGTATCCAAATTTGAAATTGACTCAACATCCTACTAAAGGGTTGGGTCAAGTATTATTTGAATATCAGGTTGGATCGAGTTTTAATTTCAGTTTGATACCAACTGATTTGATCGGTTCAACTGGTTTGATCAAATCAATTTGAGGTAAATAGATTCATATTCTTAAAATGTGTGCAATTAAGCATGAAAGATTATATGGAACTGTTATTATACGATAGATGTAGAAATAAGTAGTTTACCCCCCCCCCCCCCCCCCCCCCAATTATTTGATCAAAGTTCACTTAGTTTTACTAGTGTTTGTCCAACTGACCTATAAAGGGTCGTGGATTAGACTCTTTAACACATGCTTTTTTAATGTTTTTTCCAAAAACTATAATGGAAGGGCCAAAAGTATATTATGTGCTGTTCAAGTGGAGATACCAAAGGGATTGAGCAAAGAGGAGTAGAAACTTATTGAGGAGCTTCCTGATATGAGCAAGAACAAGACTGCTAGTAGCAGCAGTAGATGAGATTAGGAAAAAAGAAAGAGAGTTTTGACATTTGGATATGTGATTGATCTTTGTGGTGAAGGGGAAATGGAAGAACTTCTGGAGTTATTTTTCTTGGTTCCAAGTTGCATACAAACTTTAGTTAAAACAGTATCTGCCTTGCCTGGGTCATTACTGAATTTTTTTCTTAAAAGGGTTTAAAAAAAAGAAAAATATGTGGGGCGAGAGAAACTTGAACTCTCGACTTAGAGCATATGCATTAATGATCCCCTTGAGGGGAGTTCATCATGCTTTTTTTATTATTTTTTTTATTTTTTTTTTCGTTTATTTATAAAAAAAAAAAAAAAAAAAAAATATATAAAAGAGCCAATCGTGGGCCGCCACGTGGCGTGGGGCCCACGAAATAGTGATGATACCGGATCACCCCAGAGAGCCTGCGTGACACGGGTTCACCGAAAGTGCATTATTTTATTCTTTTCTCTCTCTCGGAATCCGTGTGAACTTTGCTATAATCCTCTAATGCATGTGCTCTTAGCATCATTCAATAGCTATGAGACCGACACGCTAGCCAACTGCACCACCACCCCTGTCTGTTTGTTTCATAGCGGTACAACGTTAGGAACAATGTTTGCAATGTGACATCTGTTTAGCCATGAATACTAGCCTTTGGTGTCAAATCCCTGGAAGACATTGAGATTTTAATCCTGTTCTAAGCTTATGTAAATATACATATTATTCATCTGTTAACATAATGTTAGGAACATTGTTTGCAGTTTAACTTCTGTTTAAACATGTATACACAGATCTTTGGTCTCAAGTTACTTAAAAGATTGTTTTTTTCAGATATAAATATTCTTCAACTGTTAACACCATATGTCACCAAAAGGTTAATGAGAGTTAAGACAAAAACCTTATCCAAGTTGTAATTTTTGAAGAGCTTTCTATTGGTTCACAAGTTTTCACATTAAAACCATTGTGTTATGTGAAAAGTTTACTGCATTAAACCAAAAAAGATATTAACATGAGAAAACACTTGTTTTTCACTTTTGCAAGTTCTTACAAAGTAGTGCCACCTCCATCTGACATAAGAGATGCAGCAGCCGCAGCAGCAGTCGGCACAACACCCATGGATATAAACGGTTTCGACAAGTGCACAAGCCTGAAAGAAACAAGGTAGATGGGCTAAAATCATAGAGATCATAAGTGTAATAAGAAATAGTAACAATCTTACGGGGCGAGAAATTCACAAAAGGATGAAACAGCAGCAGCAACTTCACTGTAATTCTCAGGTGTAGCTGGAGCCGTTACATCAACAATCTGCATCCCTGGAGTTACAGGAACAGCCTCATCTATGGCATGAATCTTAGGCATCTTACTGACCGAAGACACAGAGACACTTATGTGTGCTGTCCTTTGGAAATGAAAAGCGAATCCAACTTTGAGAAGCTCGTGGTCTAGTTTGTAACCGAGGGAGTAGAACATGCGGAGAGCGTTCTTGCTGACTCTACTTTCTATCATGGCTCTTACCATAACAGAGAGTTGATCAGCTCCTGCACCTCTCATCGCACCTCCAACATGTTTAACAGTCCTGTGATCAAGATTCTTCCTTGATTCGAAGATGATAAATCAACAACATACAAGAAGAGTGGTAGCGTACCATGTAGGCTCTGCTTGATCAAGATCACATAAGAGCCTAACTTCTGAAGATACAGATCCTGAAGAAACACATATTCGATTTTAACAGGATTTAATATTTTTCGAGAAATGTAAATAACAAATATACGATTAGGGTTTTATTACCAAGATTAGGGAGGCTTTTCAAGGTAAGCTCATGAACTCTCAAGCGTTCGCGTTGAACACCACAAAGACCTTGAAGAAGGATCTCAAGCGCTTCAACATGCTGAGACAAAAACATCATAATCCAAAATCAAAGCATAAACTTTTCGGACACTATGAGAATGTAATAAGACGGACCTGTGTCTCAATGATTCCTTGAACTACACACTCCATTGAATTTTCTTTCTTCTGTTAATTATAGAACCTTCTGCGCAGCAACACACATTAACACTTATCAATCAACAAAAGAACAAAACTTTCAATTGAAACAAGAACAAAAGAGACCAAATTAGATTAGGGAAATCAATCACCAGAAGTTAAACCTCGTCGTCGCCGTCAAAGAGCGAAGAAGATGGTACAAATATTTCGATTAACAAAGAATCAACTATGTCAGCAATACATAACGTGTTGGTATAGGACAATCAAGATGGCCTATTAGCTCAGTTGGTTAGAGCGTCGTGCTAATAACGCGAAGGTCACAGGTTCGATCCCCTGTATAGGCCAATTTTCCTTTTCTCTTTGCTTTTTAATATGCTTAAAGAAAAGCTCGTATACCTAATGATAACTATTTTTGGGCTTTAAAGTCAAAACATTTGTGGATCTGATCCATTCCGAACTACTTAATCACGAAGGCAATAACAGCATACACAGATTTTTTTTTTTTTTATCACTATTACTATTTTATACTTGGGCATAATAAGTATTCCAAATTTAGTTTTATTTTTAAATATTCTTTTTGAAAACATTATAACTGATCTATTAAAACTTTCTTTTGCGGAAATATATTTAAGATATGTTTTATTAAAAATAAAGTTTATATAAATATGAATCGAAAATGAAGAGAAAAATACCATCACTACAAGAAAATAAATAATTTACGACTACAGAATTAGTAGTTATTTAGTAGCAAATGACATTTTATGACTAAGTAGCGCCTGAAAAGCATGGTCGCCAATCAACGCGTTGGTAATTACGTCAATTGGAAATCAGTTGTTAAATTACGATTAATTTAAGTCTAACTATATTAGTCAACAAATAATCATGGAATAGTCATAATATATTACCACTACACTTTGACTGTTCACGTCTAGTATCCGACGACTTCTTAGTAGATTATTTCATTTATACGCAGTCGGAAATCAGTCGTTTAAGGGCACTCATTGATAAGTCGACACATTAATCGCAGGGTAGTCACTAATTTGGCGATCCTTTAGCGACCACATGGTTTTATAGGGCTGTCTGATTGTATTAGGCAAATGTTTGGTTTTGGGCTTTGGGACTAAAAATTGAGCTTAGAATGAGTGAATAATTGGTTAGGTGGGACTTAGGAAATTTTCGGGGGACTTAGGAAAATTAGGGGGCAAAAGTCTAGCAAATCTTTTTCGCATTTTGTTAATCCACTAATTTCTTTCGCTTAAATGCTTTTCATCAAGCTTGAAACATTTTTGTTTCACAATAATATATCTCAAAGAGCTGAGGTTATGCGTGAATAAAAAGGATAAAAAAATTATAACTTTGTAAATATAATAATAAATTCAAGCAACAGAAAAGGTATTTTTTGTCAACTGTATTAATGGACTTAATCAATAACAATTCAGCCGCCACTAAATTTAGGGTTTAGAAAAAAAAAAAAATTTTTGTTCTTTGCTTATATCAATTTAGGGTCTAGGAATATATTTTTTTTTATCAAAGGATATAATAATATAAAACACACATTATTAGAAATCGAACAACACATTATAGAAAAGTGAATAAATAAGTTTAGGGATATGATTTAAAACGTTATGGTAAAACACATTATAAAGCAAACAACACATTATTAATTAGTATAGTGTTTCTCCATCTTCACTTTCATCATCAGAAGAAGACGAAGATAGATCTCACTGGAATTCATCCTCCGGTTCTCCATCTCCGACATCAATATCAAGATTAATCGGTTCTCCTCGAGCATGTAATAAATGGCCGCCTGGTAGATCTTCAATTGTAGTCATCAATACAACATCATCATTGTATTGTTGCTACATTGTCGTTTCTTTGTCTTCATATTCTCCTGAAATGATCCCATTGGATTCACTTTTAAAACATTGTACCACGACTGCTTTGGTTTCTTTACATACGGATATAGAATGTAACAAACTTGATGTGTTTGAGATACTGTTATCAAATAATAAAAAGTTAATAATACATATTTATTTATGGACATTAATTAACATGTAAAATAATACGTACCTAGAATAAAGGGTTCGCATTTATAATATTTACTCGATGAAAAAACATCGACGATGCTACCATTGCTCCGCCAAGTGCCTCTATCAATCACAGGATCATACCACTTACACTTAAAAAGTGTGATTTTCAAATTCACCGTTCCATCATACTCAGTTTGAAGGATACCATTTAATCATCTTCTTCTGATGTATTTGTGTAACTCTCGCCTTTAACACATACGCCATAGTTACAAGTCTTTCGTCCCTCTTCTTTTTTTTGTGTACGAAATAGAAACTTCTAGTGAAGTAGATGGCCAGGTTTTGGCCTTATTCACGGGTCCATTCGTAATATCTTGACCCACACATCAAACTCATGTGTATTGCTCCAGTATCTAACCTACCTGCATATATATAAAATATTAATATATATATATAACTATAGACACAATTATATTAGGTACATAATATTATTGATCAGACATACGTAATATTTCACCCATATATAATATTCGTCAGCTCTCTTTGCAGAGAATTCTTTCTCGGAAAGGTCTACGTATTTTGCAGTTAGATAATCTTCAAACATCCTATAATAGATCACATCCACAACTTAGTATGAGGAATCATAGTGCAATGTATTGAAACAAAATATGATAAACCAATTTATACCTTTCAAGTGGCTGAAATTAATCACAATTTCGCAATACATATGAATGTGTGCAGCTATAATATTTCTTGGAAAACCATATCTCTTGCATGTCCTCACTTGGACGACCTACATGTGTAAATATATCAGATACTCCAGGGATATGATGTACAAGGACTTCACCTTCATCAAATCTCGTTAACCTCTACAAATTAATGAACAACATTACATAGAAGAAAAAATATGAGTACACAACAATAATAGTGAATCTGCGAAATAATAAAAGCATTTACCTTGATTTTATTTGTATATAAACAGAAAAGTAGTGCTCAGAAAAGTAAGCTATCTCCTCATTGATATATGATTCAACAATCGATCCCACGGCAAATCTTTTGTTCTTTTCTTTTGCATTCAATTTTTTGAAATTGCTTTCAAATATATACATGCACCTGTATGACAGGTCATCCTAATTCAGCTTCATAAGGGGTTGTATGGGGAATCAAAATTGCAGATGATCAAAATTGCAAATGAAATGATCAAAACAATGTTTTGTTTTAGAATTGGGAGAAGATCTTAATTTCTGCAAAGTTCTCGAGCAAAGATCACGGAAAATTAATCCAACACCTAAAAGATTAAAAATATTGTTGATAATCATAGATCAATTTGTATCATTTAATATAATAAATTATAACAAAATTTTAACACCTGATAACGCAAGTTAAATGGAAGTAGCCGCTCCATAAAAACATGGCAGTCATGACTCTTCATGCCCGCAAAATTTTTTTTCTCTATATCAACACAATTAGCTAAATCTGAAGTATAACCGCCGGGAAATTTAACTGCATGTTTCACACATTCCAATAATTATTTTCCCGGTTTCGTCCAATGTGTATGGAGAAAATGGAGCTTGACCATCATCATTAACATGTAAATGTGGCCAATCACAAAACTTTGGTATATCCAATCTTGATTGGATTGTGTCTTTTATTTACCTTTCACATTCATAAGAGTATTCATGATTTTGTAAAAACACTTTTACATCTTTGATATATCCAATCTTGTAGGCGGATTTACACTTTTACGTCTTTGTAATTTCACAATTCATGTTTATCTTCATTAAGAATATATACTTTCACAAATACAGTTTTCATTAATGGCAAAAAATCTCTTCTATCATTATTTAATATACATATATATATATATATAATATAATTATTTAAAAATAATTCAATATATATAAATAGCTAAAATTATAGTTTTTGAATTAAACATTTTCAACTTCGAACATTTTCAAAAAAATCAGAATTATTTTTTACTTTTTCAAAATTTTATTTTGAAATTTGAAAATTCTTTTTGAAATTTTTTATTTGAAATGTTAAGTTTTTATTATTTATTTATTAAAATTATAAATCTCACTCTCCAAGACCTACCTGTCAAATCTAAACATTTAGTTTAAATTCGTTAATCTTAGGAACATAAGTGTATTTTTACCTCTTTAGAATTAAGGATAAATATGATTAAGATAAACATGATAATTGATATTATACATGTGATAATTTAAGCAATTTCTTTTCTTCTCCATAAATTGGGTTAGAGTAGTTAAGCAAATGCTTTATGGTTTTTAATAACAATACTAGGATAAGACCCGCGCCTTGCGCGGGATGAAGCTATTATTTCTATTATGTTTTGAAAAATGAAACAATAGTTCGGTTTCATTCGGATTAGAGGTGTTCAATCCGGATATCGGGTTTCGGTTCGGCTCGATTTTTTGGTATTTCGATCATTAAAATATAACTACTACTCTAAATCTATATGTACTTCAGTTTGATTTGGTTTATATACCATCGGTTTTCAGTTTATTCAATTTTATACCAAAAAACATAATTATTTAGTTTNCGGATTAGAGGTGTTCAATCCGGATATCGGGTTTCGGTTCGGCTCGATTTTTTGGTATTTCGATCATTAAAATATAACTACTACTCTAAATCTATATGTACTTCAGTTTGATTTGGTTTATATACCATCGGTTTTCAGTTTATTCAATTTTATACCAAAAAACATAATTATTTAGTTTGAGATCATATTATATATTATAGAAATATATAATATGATCATATTTAGAGTCATATTGTCACAAAGTCATTTATTAAAAAATATTATATATTTAAATAAAAGAATAAAAAACAAAAAAAGCTTCTATCATCTAATAAAATGATCAAATCTAGAATTAATATCAATACACTAAATTTTGAAAATAAAAATAAAAAATAAAACAGAAGCATGAAAGAAAATTTCTTATATTCTTCCATATTTAGTGTTCATCAAACCAATATGTCTTCGATTGAACACAACTCTGTTTGTTTAAAGATAAAAAAAAAGTTGTAAAGAATTTCAACTAATTGTTGTCCATCAAATTTATAATCTTTACTTCAATTTAGTTACTGTTAAAAAAACAAAAGATCAAAATACGATG